GTTCGCGTATAGTGTCTTTGTAAACAGAAATAGCTCTCTCAAAGTGGAGAGTAACGGAACAAGTGGAGACAACTCTTGATTATTTATAACAATAGGCTCTGTCAGCATATAGTCCATGACGCGGTGGGTGTTAAACAAATAGTGGATTCGTGTTTCAAACTTTACATAGGCTATTAAGACGTCAGCATTCGTGGTTTAATTTTGGCCAATGAGCAAGCTTGTTCTATTTACTGCAGATAACATTAGAAATATAATCACTATCCTTTGTAACGTTGATTCTTTTTTCTTTATAACATTTCATTTTACTTTCAGTGCGATCATTGTACAGGTGAACTTACTGGAAAGTTCGAATCGAACCGGAGAAAGAGTTTTCTTATTCAGCTTTCCATGAATAGGAAATATCTCCTATCAGCAAATATTCACCGGTATCATTCGTAATTGTTTTCTTCGGTCGTTTATTTCATTAAACCTAAGTATGTCACTTTCCAGCAAATCCAAGGAATGGAACCCATAAGAGCCAAATATCTCGAAAATTTTCATCCAAATCAATGTTAGTGTTGAATGGGCACCTCGAGACGTGGTGTAATATTTAGCAAGTCTGTCTTACTAGATCAGTTACGACTGAGTAGTGAATTCGATCATCGCTGGGTGCCCAGCCTTGTGCCACATCTAAGCTGCGCTTAGAAAATAGCTATATGGTAGAGTTGAATTGTTATGTTTGCGGTCCCAATGGGAGAAACAAACAAAAGACACAAAATAAAAAAAAGGAGCATCTGTCTATATTTCTGAGATGAGGTATTATGTACACTATTTACATTATTCGGACTATTGTCCTCATATTTGTCGCCATGCTTATTACAACCTTTCGGCCGTTGTACGCTCCACCCTTCTTCAGGTGGTTGGAATGTCGAATTGAACCCTTTATTTCGCTCACCATGTTTTATGGATATCACTTATCAGTTATCTCCTGTTAATTTCCCTCTGAAAGTTCTCCATTGCCTTAACCGGTTATTGAACTCACACTCTTTGGGTCTTGTCACTGGATCTAACCAACGCCTTTATACACTGTGCCATGTGTCCTTGTGGAAGTGGAACTACCCCAACGAGCGACATAACGGGTTCAGTTCGACATTATAAGCACCTGAAGAAGGCTGGAGCGTACAACGGCCGAAATGTTGCAATGAATATGGTGACAATAGCCCGAATAATGTAAATAGTGAAAATAAAAGTAATGAAAACTATTAGCAAGGAATTTGGAACGTGAAGTGAATAAATTTTTCGTTTGCAATTCCAAGGGGTTTAGCTAACACAGACACCTAAAAAAATAATGTAGATTAGAATCGCCTGATTGAGTACGTACTGATGATGAGGGGTCAATGTCGATAAGATATATATATATATATATATATTCATATATGTCTATATCTCTGAGATGAAGTAATGTAACTATTTTATAACATTTACATCGTTCGGACTGTGGTTCACATCTTTATTGTTACAATCACTTGGAGAGTTCAGTTACTAAATGTACTTAACTCACACTGATTCGTATGACGTTAAACTACATCCACGTCCTGGGTAAGACGGTAAACTACATCCAACAGCAAGGCCTCTGACCAGGAGAGTTTGAGGAACGAGAATCACTTCTTAATTGCTGGTTTTTCCAGGGCCACGCTGACCCATGGTGGTAGCACCTGTTTGGATCCTTGCTATGTGCAACTAGATAATCTCCAAATTGGATCTAAACACTATGAAAGTATAAAAATAGGTTTTTAATACTAGCAATATTTTTTTAAAAATATTACCAGCAACACATTTTGAAAAAAATATTTCCAGCAATACATTCTTTGAAAATAATATTACCAACAATACATTTTTTTAAAAATATTACCAGTAATACTTTTTTGAAGAAAGATTACTAACAATAAAAGTCTTGTCACCATTAAATAACCCATTGAGGTTGTTATGCCGTAAAAAAAAACAAACCAAATCAAACCTGGAATTGATATATCTAAAAAAAAAAAGAAAAAGAAAAGAAAAGAAAGAGCATGACACGAGGAATTAAAACAGTCTGGTGTATGAACATCAAAACGTTTAATAATCATAATTTCTCAGCTAAAATATGTATTAATATGGCAAGGCGTAAGTTGGTCGAACTATTCTTACTGGTTTACCATTCCTGCTATATCAAGACACTTTTTATATTCATCATCAACCAATTAACTACATTACTCGCAGATGTTGATTATGGTTTTGTCTTTTAATTTATACCAAAATCCCAACTTTTACTTAATTTGATTTTTACGGGTTATAATATTGTTAGTACCTCTACATATCTACGGGCTTCACTGATAAAATAATGTTTCTCTTTTTAGATGTCTTCTGCGTTATCATATGCATGAGTTTATTATTGCCTGTAGTTTCAATATCACCATACTTTAATGAATGTTCCTGTTCATATGAGATATGCAATGACTACATAATTGCTTAGTATATTCAATCTCTTTATTTAATATCCTGACGGGAGCCAGCAATGCAGCCATTTTATTTGGTTCTGTCTACTACTAATTCATCCGTACCTGTATATTGAGCATACTTCCAAATGCTACATATATTTTGGGTACAATTTTTATTTTCATGAACCAAATTTTCATTAGCTCCTGGGCGAGGTCCTGATAATTTCATTTCTAAAATTTTTTGTGTTTGCATAATATGACTGGCTGAGGGTGATAGAACAGGGATCAGACCGCTTATCTTTTATTTTGTTTGCGTACAATCGTCAGATTCAATATTTCTGTAATATTGGGGTGGTTGGTCGAGACGCCCAAGTTCCAGAGCAATTTTTTTATATTCGACAAGAACTACTCTTTTCTGTAAGACAATTTGCTTATATGGTTGAAGGTAAGAGTATCCTTTTCTTTTGTGCTAACCAGTTTCCTTGGTTAATTTACAGTGCAACACACCAGTAAAGGTAACGGTTAATTTGCAGTGTAACACCCACGATCAGTTCAAATTAAAAATTTTCAGAATACTTACATTTAGGTGTAATTGTACATGCTTCATTCGAATCTGTCTTGATAAATTTGATAAAATCCACCATTTCGAAGTTATCGACAGTGAAAATCCGGATTCATTCGCATCGTTGGCGGCAGCCATTACTGTCGTTGTTTACAGGAATTCACCGCGGAGAGCGAAACGCGGAAAACTACAGAAAGCTAACTGCTGAACTGATCTTTCTTGTCTAAATTTATCTTAATTACTGCGCACGAGAACTATTTACATAGACACGCTCAGTTTGCGCAATGATACCTACACTGATAGCTATTCTGTAGAGAATGTATGCAAACAACGCCAGTAATGGCTGCCCGCGACGAGAATGAATCCGAAATTTTACTGTCGATAACTTTTAAACGGTAGATTTTACCAAATTTATGAAGCCAGATTCGAATGGAGGATATACAATTACACATAAATGTAAGTATTTGGAAATTTTTTAATGCGAACTGATCGCGGGTGTTACACTGCAAAATAACCGTTTCCTTTACTTATCAGTATTTGGATGTGCGCTGGGGTAGAATGGTTCGGCGTGAGAAATCAGAGAACGAAGTTCGAATTCCAGTCGGGTTCGATACATTCACTTATGAACTATTCCTTCGGAAAAGTATAAATGCATCTCTTCTTCCCCAGCTATATGTTGAATAGCAAGACAGATTGGATCCTATAGCCTTTGTTAACAACCAGTCGACCGCAGAATACAACGGCAACCTGCTGCTGGAAAAATATTCTGCCTAGTCAGACATGTATGGAAAGATTTATGATCACCCAAACCTGTATCACGTATGGCACGTGTGACTGACTGACAATTATATGTAGCAAATTATTTAGAATATATAAAAAATAGATCTGAATGGGTAGGAAAAGTTAACTTCTCATAACAGTGCAAGCGATAAGGTTTTACGCTCAAAGGCCAATGTAAAAACCAGAATTTATGTTAGAGAACGAAACATAAAAGAAATGAAGTAGAAGATTTGGCTCTATAAGCAGACGATAGATTTTGTCAGAAGGAAACGGAAATTATGGATAAGGATCTCTACAGTTCCAAGAATATCAGAAAAACTCTAACGGGAAACAGTTCTCTCTGTGACGATCAGAACACTGAATTTGATGCTCATCCTCGTAAATATCGGTATGCTATGGATAGACCAATAGGTTATAGTCTGATGTGACTGAAAATAACAGGAATAGTCGAGGACATCATCGTAGTCACTAAATGTACGTGTGATAACTTTGAAAAGGCTTTCACAAAAGTTAAGTGACATTAGGTCTATTCACTACTAAAACATTCTGCACACTATTAAGTGGACTTTTTTTTTTATTAATAATTAAAATGAATAAAAGTAAAGAAAATTATCTAATATTAACAAAAAGATAAGAAATTGAAAGAAGGTCGTTGGTGTAGAATTAAAAAGAAGAATGAAAGATGACTAATGAAATTACTGGAATAAAACGAACTATTGTTCGTTTTAAAGTTTATTTTTAGCTTTGATTTCATTTGTTTGCTTTTGTTTTTTTCCTATTTGCTTATGCGAGGAAAAATTGATTGTTGATTTTCAGCAATGAGGCAATATTGTTTCGGGCGCCTGTCGAGATTTCGACCGAATGACGCGAGTTTTCAAACTTCAAATGTTGACAAGTATCGAAAATTAAATAGAAGAAATTCAATTAAATACTTTAGAGTATTTGGAGCTGCATTTTTCATATCTTTTTTTTTTTTTTTCAAATTTTACACATCCTCATTCGCTAAGTTAAAAATGGAATTTTGTAATTAAAAATGAAAAAAAAAAAACGATTTTATTTCCTCCAGACGCGAAAAGACAAACATTGATTTTTAGTTTGTGATGTGAATGCCTTAAAGGAAATCAAAAGTCTCCATATTTAGATTTAGATATTTTTTTTGTCATCCTATTTTCAAATTTGTGAAAAGTGATGAAGATGTTAATTCAAACTGGTCGGTCCAGCGAAGGAATTTGGTGTTGGGAGACATATATAATAAGGTTATAATCGAGGAGGAATGTATTTAAAATATGAGTCTGTTTCGCAAACACAACGATAGATAGATAGATAGATAGATAGATAGATAGATAGATAGATAGATAGATAGATGTAAACTGGCTACGATAGATGTGAAGTGTCTAAGACATATATGTGTGTGCATAGATAGATAGATAGATATGAAGTGTCTGATATATATATATATATATATATATATATATATGTGTGTGTGTGTGTGTGTGTGTGTGTGTGTGTGTGTGTGTGTGCGTGTGTGCGTGTGTGTATAGATAAATAAATGTTAATTGGCAAAGATAGATAGATATGAAGTGTCTATATATATATATATATATATATATATATATATATATATATATATATATATATATATATATGCGTGTGTGTATAGATAGGTAAATAGGTGTTAAATTGCTAAGATAGATAGGTAGATAGGTAGACAGATAGATAGATGTGAACTAGCTAAGACAGATAGCTATGAAGTGTCTACTATATGTGTGTGTGTGTGTGTTTATAGATAGATAAGTAGATATATAGTAAATGTCATAGATAGATAGATAGATAGATAGATAAGAACTGGCTAATATAGATAATTATCAATAGAAAGAAAAGAAAGAAAGAAAGAAAGAAAGAAAGAAAGAAAGAAAGAACAAACAAACAAAGAGGGGGCAGGAACATTCTCGGTTCAGGCATCTTCCTAAAATTTGAACGACTGAACAGACATCGGAGTTTTATTTCCGAAAAGTTTCTTTATATGACCTAAAATATTTCGCTATCCCTTCGGGAATTACAATTTCTCAGCGCGACCCTTTTCCTCAAATTTCATACTTGAGCGAATATCATTTTTGTTGTTGTTGCTGGAAGTGCTTTTTCGATTGACAGAATTTTTTTTAAAAATCCCTTCGTTGATGATAGATAGATAGATAGATAGAGAGATATGCACTGACAGTGAAAAAGATATTGATTTAAAAGTGATTATTGATCGCAATTAAAGCATTAATTGCTGTGGAATAAACAATATCACATCAGAAATGCACGCCCTATGTGTTTTTTTTTATTTTTGACAGTGAATCGGATAGGTGTCCTAGACAATGCGTAGATGGTGATAAAGGCAGTGGAAGCAATGATAATGCCTCTAAGGTTCAAGAGGCTTCTAGGAATAAATAATAAGAAAAAATACATTAGAAGGAAGCGAAAACCCAATTCTATACAGAAAAAAATGTGATAAATCCCATCTCCTGTTAAAAGACCATGGAATTGAGTGAACCGGACAATAGTGCAACGTGTTTACTCTTATATATATATATATATATATATATATATATATATAAAGAAAAACAGACCACTTTAAGGTTCCATTATAATAATTTATTTCACCAGAGCCCTTTTAAGGGACGCTGGATCATCAGATAACACTTCCAAAAATGAAATGAAACATGAAATAAAAATTCATACTTTGACGGGTAGTATCAACTTTATGTAATTTAACAGAGAGGGTAGCGAGGAGTGGTGGGAGAGACATGGTTGAGTTTAGAGAGGGTTTATTTTAATATTTCTTTCAATCATACATAATATTGGAGGAGGAGGGACCAGACCTTGACCTATTTAAACGGTTAACTTAAAGGAAGTGATATATTGAAATGGGAGGGGAGAAGAGAGAAAAAGAAAAAGAAAAAAGAAGTAAGGCTGAAGTAAAGAGAAAGAAGATGTAATTAGGTTTTACGTAGGAAGAAGCGGGGTGGTATATTTTTAGCAATTTATGTAAAAACATAGTTTTTAATGTTTGATAGTAATTTAAATGTTAAAAAAACACGAAGAAATTAATTTGATGCTTGCTAGCAATTTAAATATTTAACTCTTTTACAAATAACTTAGGGATTTAATATAACGTAAATATTGTATTTATTCACACATTCATAGAGAACACATTAAAAGAATTTTTAAAAATATAACAGTTTACTGATAGTAATCTTTTAATATTGTAAATGACTGTTAAGTTAACATCTTTATCGGTTTGAATCTAATTCATGAGTGTAATTTGTAACTATATATATATATATATATATATATATATATATATATATATATATATAAGTGAACATTGAAGTCAACACTCAGAGGCTCTGAGTGCTTTCAGTGTTCACTTTTATATTTATATTTACATACGCTCTATCTCTGATATTGAGCACTTTACCCCATAATTATAGCACACCTTAAAACTATAATTCTTCATGTGTGACATCACATGATGCGACGCGATTTTCGCTTCTGCGTCTCGTATACACTAGTTAGTCGTTACTTCGAAATTTTTCATGTAACAAAACAGACTATCATTATTGTTCCATGTCTTGGTTGATATATTGAAAAGTAATTGTCATCTTTGATAATGTCTTATGTAAGCCGAATTCTTAGATTGGATTTCAACATGTATCAATATGGTGATTTCCTTTCGTCCTTCAACGATAATGTTATTAAGCTTATCAGACCATACGAAAGGAACTTACTTAAAATAAATAGACAAAACTTGTCTATACTATGTAATGAAACATGCATCAATGGTAACTTGCTGCCTAAATATACAAAATATATATATATATATATATATATATATATATATATATATATATATATATATATATTGTTGAGGGTCCCCCTTTTTTATACAAATAAACTCACTCAGTATATACATATACTACTGCAAGAGCAAGACCGAGGAGTCGAGTCGAGTCGAGTCGAGAGTGACAGAGTAAAAGGTTTTAGCTAACCGGAAGAGTGAGGGGTGAGGTAACAGCTTTGTAGGAGTCACAGTGAGCGAGCACGTAGACTCAGTAAGAAGTCATACAGCGATACTTCAATACCAAAGACTGTATATATATATATATATTGCTACTAACCCGTATTCCTGGAACTACTAACCTGCTTCTACTAGTTTGTATTATTACTTTAATACATTATTTTAATATATACATTCCTGGCGTTTGTTATTTATTGGTACCGGATTTCAACCCGGAATTCACAACGTATATATATATATATATATATATATATATATATTTCTTAAAAATCTCCTCTTCATGGGTCTACTTAACATCTCATTCCATACATATGTAATTCAAGACTACTCGTTATGGTGAAAAAACAATGAAATTACTCATTGTCCTGAAGCAGGAGACAAGCCATTTCGAGAAAAAGAAATACTTTACTTTTATTTTCCTCTTTCGGTAGTGAATACTGATTATATTTGTAGATAGTGATGATGCCAGTGAAAACAGTCATTTTCTTTGGAGATTATTCCAATATGAGTTTAGAAAAATATCTTTGCATTGGGTTCTCAAAATCTCAAAGACTCGTGCCTATTTCCTAATGTATTTTCTCACAGTTTCGAACGAAACAACTGTACTTACTTTTGATGTTATCAAAGAATTTCGCATTTTTTCTGGTAATACTTTTTGGTAATATACCGTATATACTCGCGTAACATGTGACCTTTGAAGACCTAATTTCGAAGACCTAATTTTGGGCAATGATGTAGCCAGGACCAGCAGAACATACAACAATCTTATATCTCGACTTAAAATTAGCTTCAAAATGAGGTCTTCAAATGTCGAATACTAGGCAAGTATATACGACATATACGAAAAGAAATTTTTACGTTACTTAAGAATTGTAAACAAAAAGCGAAAACGTTGTAAAATACAACCATGATAAATATTTACATTATATACAACGCAGATAATGTAACATACTTTATATTATTATATTATGCCTCTTGATTCCTTGGAGAAGATAGGGTCGCAACAACACCTGTCCAACTGACACGGTTCTGGGCGATTCTCTTCACCTCGTCCCATGTCGTGCTGGATGCCTTCACCTCTACGTCAACACTTCTGCGCGAAGTCTGTTTATCTCGACGCACTTTTCGCTTCCCTTCGGGATTCCAGTCAAGGGCCTGCCTGGTGACACTAAAAGGATGCTTTCAGTGTATGTGGCAGATCCATGCCCCCATCTCTGTTTCATGATGTCAATCTCCATTGAGGCTTGTTTGTTCCTGTCCCACAGTTGGTCGTTGCAGACGACTTCCGGCCACCAGAAATTGAGGATGATCCTGAGACATGGCTGTAACATACTTTAGAGAAACCAAATAACTTAAAATTTCAGTAAATAATAAACAAAATAACAAATTAGGAAGGCTCTCGGAAATAATAATCATCAAATAATAATCAACAAATAATTAAGTAATCAATGATAAGTAATGAACAAAAATTTAGCAAACATTGTAAAATAGCTACAAATAAACGTATTCAGATAAACAATTATTCCCACGAAACAGAATCTAGAATAATTTGAAACATAATAGTTGCGCCTCCACTATAACATTTCGATAAATACAATAAGCCTTATTACCTGTAATGCCTCGCAAGCATATATAAATAGTTGCGCCAAAACACATGGCCAAAAGATTGTGTTCACGCAAACAAATTTTCGCAACTTGGTGTTGACCTTACTTCCCACTTTTATATGTTATACTAGCTTAAGATATATATATATATATATATATATATATATATATATATATATATATATATAATGAAATGGACAAAGTTCGACAATTATGTTAAGACATTCTTTTATAAAAAAGAACGTATAAATATAAAAAAAAGTCTTAAAATATATTTACATGTAATACTAGCTTTATTAGCTTATATATGTTAACGACTTTATTGGGCGGCAATTAAGCTAGGGCTTGCAAAGGGCTCTTCATTGGTATTTAGTCTTGTTCAAAAGCTTGAATGTCCCTAAATCTTTGCGTATTCTCAGCATTAGAAGATCTCCTGGTTGTCGTTTGTTCTGGATTTTCATTTGCACGGGACTTTTTTTTCATCGCAGCTGCTATGGCTCTTTGGATTGCAGTCCGGTTTTCTGTTGACGGATATTTTTTTTTTTTTTTGCGACGCATACTACTGCAGTATGCGTTAGGCAACAATAAGCTACAGAAGAACTTACAACTAATCGCTGCATTTAAATATTGCATTAATATTTAAGCTTACATTTAAAAAATTCTCTCTAACCTGCTCGTAACACCTGCCTCGTAAGGACAGAACTGATAGATTGATACAATTCCCAATATATTTGTGCGAATCCAAACAAAGCTATCTCGGGCGGAATCTGAACTCAGCACGTCAATTCTATTGTACAGGGCAATACTTGCTGCGTTGCGACCTCTAATAATTATATCTCTATATATATATATATATATATATATATATATATATATATATATATATATATAATTATTTATTTAAAATTATATTTTGTTGAACACCTTTGGTGTCTTATCACTTGATAAGACACCAAAGGTGTTGAAACAAAATGGCAATTTCTGTAGTGATTTTATAATATATTTGTTATAATTTTTAAATAAATAATTATATTCGCTCTACTCTGTATTGAGCACTCTTTTAAGAATAGTAATTGTTGGTGATTGGAATTTATTACGTATGCACCAATCATAAACTAGGTATATATATATATATATATATATATATATATATATATATATATATATATATATATATATATAATTAGGTAACATGCATATAAATTTAAGAACATGTACGTTAGATCCCAATATTATAAATGATAAACGGAATTCCTGTAAAATTAAGCAGATATAAATTAATAGATTTCGGCGTTAAAATCGCCAAGGAAACTATATTAACGTCATACTGATGCTATATTAAATATTCAAATAAAGTTTAAATATAAATTAAGTTATTTAAAATGCTTCTTAAAATTACTGATTTTAATAAATGAATTAACAATCTATTTCATTTTATTATTTATTACGATTTTATTTAGAAATATAACATTTATTATAATACAACATTCACGGATTCAATGGAAGAACGATTATACAACTGAAGTAGTATACTGAAAAATCTCTCTTTTTCTCTCGCTCTCTCACTATATATATATATATATATATATATATATATATATATATATATATATATATTAAAGAAAAAACAGACCACTTTAAGGTGCCATTATAATAATTTATTTTACCAGAGTCCTTTTAAAGGAGGCCGGATCATCAGATAGCACTTCGAAAAATGAAATGAAACGAAAAATGAAATTAAAATTGATGGGTAATGTAAGTTTTTGTAATTTAACAGAGATTGTAAAAGGAATAGTTAAAGAGACATGGTAGAGTATAGGGAGGGATTATTTTCATATCTCTCTCAAGTATACTTTGTATTGGGGAAGGAGGAGTGACCAGACCTTGACCTATTTAGACAGTTAACTTAACGGAAGTGATATATTGAAATGGGAGGGGAGAAGGGAGAAAAGAAAGAGGAAAAAGAAAAAAAGAAAGAAGAGGGTGAGGGAGAGGGAAGTAAAGAGAAAGAGGCTTTAATTGGGTTTTAGCAATTCATGTAAAGAATAGATTTTAATGCTTGATAGTAATTTAGATCTCTAAAAAAACCTGAAGAAATTAATATGATGCTTACTATCAATTTAAATATTTAATTTATTTATAAATAGTTTAGGGATTTAATACAAGTTAAATACTATATTTATTAACACATTTATAGAGAACATATTAAAAAATGTTAAATTATAACAGTTTGTTTACCCGACCAATCGTACATTTTTAATATTGTAAAAAACAGTTGGGTATATATATATATATATATATATATATATATATATATATATATATATATATATATATATATATATATATGTTCCTGGCTCTTTCGGATTTATTTTCTTCATCCTAGGTCTACTTAGTGTATTGAGCACGCTATGATTCAGCTTCATTACTCGCTTGGGTTTTTTCTTTGGACGTACAGCGGAAATATCAATGTAAGTATTATAATTTGTCTCATTTACTTTAGGGATGATGGTTTCTTGGTATATTACTCTAGTGAGATCAAATAGAGGGAAGCAGAGAGAAAGGATAGCAGCGGGTGGCATACTAGGCGAGCTTGAGCAGGTGTATGACAGAACGTGGTTTTGGGGAGGAAACAGAGGGTAGGAGGGCTTGGAGTATCTGATACTCACAGGTCAAATAGAGGGAATGAGAGACAAATGAAAGCAGCCCGTGACATACCTGGCAAATTTGAGGAGGTGGATGACAGAATGTGGTCTGGGGGAGGAAGCAGAGGGAAGGAACTTACTGTGAGCTGCTAGGAATAGACTGAGGTGGAGAGCCTTGGCAGGCCACATAAAAAGAATATATCAAGAATATGAAAGTTCTCCGCCGCCTTAACCAGGTATTAAACTCACATTCTTTTGGGTCCTGTGACTGGATCTAACTAACGCCTATATCCACTGTGTCATATGTCCTTGAGGACGTCTGTGCATGAATTCCTGGGTATTATAAACCTAATGTCTTCAGCAAACATTTTTTACCAGTGCTCACAGTGGAGATCTTGGAGAGGGGAATTAACAGGAGATAACTGATAACTGACATCCATTAAACATGGCGCGTGAAACTAGAACAATTTACGCCAATGAGCGAAATAATGGGTTCAGTTCGACATTCCAACCACCTGAAGAAGGCCGGAGCGTACAACAGCCGAAACGTTGTAATAAATATGGCGACAAAAATGAGGAAAATAGTTCGAATAATTAAAATAGTGGAAGAAATGATTTATTAAGTAGTCCAAAGTGGAGAGGCATGATAACAAATGCCCTGAAAGGACGTAGAAGAAGAGGTTAAAACAAGAAAAGATTTGCCATGTTTTTTTTTTATTTCACTATGGTACATCAAAACTATGTTAGTGGAGTGATTTAAAAACATTTGTGACTATTGAGCGATTCAAATTTCCTGCAATTCGCGCAAAACATCGGAAACGCGTCTGAGATTAGTTGATGATCAAATAGAGCAAAATGTCTCTATATATTAAAAAAAAAAAACAAAAAAAAACATAATTACCTACTAATCATAAATCGTGAATATAATTTACCAGCGACTCTAGTAGACAAAAAAAGAAACACCAATTATCTCCAAGGTCAAAAAAGATATAGTCAAAGAAAAGATATCTGGGAGTGGTAATAAAAAAATCATCGTTTATGTTACTACCAAATGGCTCATATAAACCGAGAAAATCAATAAAAGAACAAAGATTGTCGAGTCATCGATTATTATCTTTTAATAGCACCAAATAACTTAATACTTTCTGTAACATATTATTTGGATAGAACATGGCTCAACAGCAGTCACGATGTATGGTAGCACTCTCGGAGAGGTTCCTTGTTTTTATTTG